ACATCATGCTGTATGGAAGAAGAAACGCACACACACACCTGCGGGGGCTGTGGACTCTCCATATCCCTTCATGTCCAGAGCCAACACCCTGAACCCTGCTGCTGCCACAGCTGGGATCTACCAGAGAGAGAAGAGGATGTTCAGACACAAAGGTATAAAAAACACGCCAAAAACTGCGAGAGTGAACCTTGTGTTTGCCTTTTTAGTCCTAATGTATACACACATATTAAAACACTGTTGCAGTGCTGCACTCAAACGTTCACAGACTCCTACAACAACAACAGGAAGTGCAGAGGACACATAAACACGTTACCTGGTACCTCCAGGAGTACCAGCTCTCAGGAAAGCCGTGACACAGCAGAACTGGTGGACCTGAGCCCATTTCAACATAATGAGTCTTCACACCAGGCTGAAACACACACACACACACACACACACACACACACACACACACACATTAATGTCACAATAAAACAACATTTCAACTGTGTGTTACTTCCATAATCTCCTGACATCAGATTACAGGACACTGATAGAGATTATTACCCTGATGGTGACGTAACCATGAGACACTTCATCAGGACTGCAGGATAGTGGAGGACTGTCTGCTCCAACAGCCTGCAACACACACACACACACACACACACACATCATTATGTATGTTAGCACTACGACAAACTTCCTCTGGCACTAGTCGGTAGTTTTATTTATTTATTTGATATTTTATTTTCCTGCATCAGCCCAATTATCTTATGTGCACCGGTAGATCTTTTGATATTTCATTGATTACAAGAACAGGATGGAGAGTTTCCAGAGTGAGAGAAGAACAGGTGATGTTCATCAAGGAAACACGTTAAATTCAATATATGAAGAAGCTCGTCTTGAGTTTATTGTCAGTAAAGCAGGTTTTTTGTCTTTTATGTGCAAAAATTTAAAATATAATCTGTGTGAAATTTAAATCACATTTTGCGGGGGGAAAAAATTATATTTTTCCTTTCTCTAAAAGAACAAGATCCAATCGTTCTGGTCGTCACCTGAACTCCAGTAAACTTGACCAGTTTATCCAAAGTATCGTCCAGATTTCCCACCAAGACGGCCTTCATCCCTGCTGCTTCTGCTGCCTTCACACCTTCCTCATCTGCATCCAGCCACAGAGCCTGAAATGAGACACACACTGAGCACAGCTGCACTGCCTCACAGTCTTTCCAGGACACACAGTTACATGTCTGTGAGTGTGTCCTCTACCTGTTGTGATGTCACTCCCAGGTGCTGCAGAGCACAGCTGAACACAGACGGCTCGGGGACCCTGTGACCTGAGCGACAGGACTGGAGGACCAGGTCAAAATGGCCGCCCAGCAGGGAGAGGATGCGGGCTGGACCGTCTTCAGCAGCGCTGTCGTCTACCCAGTGATTGGCCAGCACCGCTGTCAGTAACCCTGATGGGACGCAGACGCAGAGACTCAGATACTTTTCATCTTGTGAGTTCTTTAGACTTAATTTCACCTGCCTGTCTTCATGTGGGCGATGTTATGAGCTCATATTTACATGAGCCTTGTATTTACGTTGTTATCTGCAGGAGCCTGAGGAAGAATCGATGTAAACAATAAGAGAGAGAAGAAGATCTCATTGGAGGGCCACTATTTTCCCCTACGGCTGTGTGTGTGTTGTGTCCAGGTGTACTGATGCAGATGTACCACTGCGACGCAGACTGGCAGCTGTCTTCAGCACGGCTGGTTGGACGTCCATCATCGCCTCCCTGAGCTCCTCCAGCAGGCCTCTGACTGACCAATCAGGCGGCAGAGTCACAGCCCTGACCTCGGCCTCCTTCACACACTCCGCCTCCAACGCTGGGATCACCTACACACACACACACAC